GTCCTCTTCTCCCACACTGTCTTGCATCTCTGACCCGGTGCCCGAAGCAGTGTCTAGTTCTGTGACTTCTTGCTCAGGCAAACTTCTGCTTGTGACAAAGGTTTTTCCACAAAATCCTACTGACCACCGGTTTTTATAGCACTATAAGGAGTCATCATTTCCCCAAATTACCATCTATTCCCAGTGTTTGGGTATGTTTGAGTATCTAAATTTCCTCCCTTGTAGGAGGGACACACAACCACTTATTTTAGGAATGTTGCAACCATTTTCCCTTGGGCCTTCCTGGCCCCAGAAAGGCCTCCCCTGTGTGGCTTGTAGGTGGCACTCGGTCCCCCTCAATAGGAATCTGGAGCTACCTACGTCATTTATGGCCAATATTGACTTGTACAAGTCAGACTCTTCTGTTATAAGAGTCACCAACCAATCCATGCTCATTTGGGCAAAAAAAAAAGTCTTCCTGCCTTTAGTAACTCAATAATGGAAAAAAGTCTGGGTGCAGTTGACCTTAGGGATGAGAGCCTGCAGGGACTCTTCACCTCCCTCCCTGTGCCCCTTCTGACCTCGTCTTCCCTCACCCCTCTGCCCCTTCTTCCCCCCATCTCACACACACACACATGCACACGCACGCTCCTCTCTCCTCTCTCTGGGTTGATTGACTTTATTCATTCAGCCCTTCTCTGTGGGGTGGGGGCATGGCTGTCAGGCTTACAGCACGATAACTGTCCACCCAGAGTAGAGAGTTTGTCCCATTACCAGCAGAAGGGAAGAAAGGAAAACACAGACAAACTCAGGCAGCCTGTCTTGAATCGTGTGCCTAATTAATAAAACAGTCAGTGTGGCCTGGGCAGGGGTGGGGTGTCTGTGTGTGTGTAGCGCTCGGGCTGGCTCAGCCTGGGTCCCTTGGCCAGCCACATGCACAATAGTAGAAGAGGTGCGCTGCCAAGGGAACCTTTGGGGGGGGGGTGAGGATGAAGAGGATCCCCTAAAGGAAGGGGGAGATACTTGCAGAGAAAGGAGAGAGCAGTGCTGAGCAATTTTTTAAAAATATCTCCCTTGCATTGTTCAAATGTATTAAGTATAAAGCAAACAGATGAAACGGCTGTGCATCATGGACCCCGTTCCTGTAAACTAGTTTCAGGAGGCAAATCTGCCGCCCAGTCCCTGATGGATGTCAGTAAATGCTGGACATGTTTACCAGTCCCAACTAGTCCAGAAGAAGATGGCCCATCTGCTTGTGTAATGAGACACAGTGTGCCCCCCACCACCCGCCAGCTCTTCTTCCCCCTACCCATCTGGTCTCCTCTCGTGGACTCAGGGTCTTTGGGGTACAACCAATGTCTGTTCCTGCTTGTCTTCCAGCACGTGGCATGGAACTTGGCACACAGCAGAGGCTCATGGGAATCGAGCGGACCAGCAGCCGGTCTGGCAGACCACAGCTCTGGTGCCCATCCTCTTGGGGGCCACAGCTGAGAGCTGTCGGCGTTGCCAACTGGTGCTAGTGGAAGGGAATTAAGTGCCAGGAACAGGGCCTGGCGTTGCTCACGTCGCTCACGCATGAGTCCAAGCGCACACCTCTGGGAGCCCCCACGTGTGGTTAACTGGGGAAGCTAACAGGAAGCAGTCAGTCTGTTGAGCAAGTTTGTGTTTTATAAACCAGATGTTCGGTATTATTCGTCATTTCCTTTGATACCGAACAGTCCCCACTATGCAGCATAGGAAATGAAGGATATGGAATAATATGCACTTATTACACAACAGGGCACCACACCCAAGCATTTCCAAGGCCTGTTCAAAACCTGTGCAAGCACAGCTGAATGGCAATTCATTTTAGGATTCCCACTTGGGACCTCAGTTAATGGGATTTTGCCCAGCGGATCATGGTGGCCCCGTCTCCCATTCCCACCTCTTGGAAAATGAATGTTGACTCTACGTCTGCATTTTTCTTGGAAGCCACATGAATGAATCATAAGCAGCTCTTGCCTCAGCAGCCGCCGCAGGTTAGGGGGCCACAGAAAAGCAGGGCCCCTTAGTGTGTGGACACAAAGAGTGTCGGCCATGGTTGGCTGCCTAACTTCTGCTCGGTGGTCTGGAAAAAAAAACCTTTGCCCCTGGCTGCTGTTTCCTATGGCAGGAGTACAGAGGCCTTTCCATCACAAGTGCTCCCAGGGCAAGTCAACTCCTGGTGGAAATATTTGCAATTCACAGAACCTAGAGCTGTGGCCTGGGAGCCATGGGGCTGGTGGATACAGAAGGGCATCTTAATGTTGTGCAAGCCGTGTGTCCAGGGTCTGCCAGCCCTCGTGGCTGTACTGATAAGCTGGTACACCTCAGGAAGGCTGCAGGATAGGGTTCCGGCCAAGCCAATCCAGATACGAGCCAGAACTGCCCCCAGGCGAGGAGCTCGTGAGCCCCCAGCACAGTGGCCACACTGAAGTCACTGCATTTCCTTTGTTTACCAGGGGTGGTTGCAAGTGAGGGGTTTCAGCACAAATACATTATTACCAGGTTGTTTTTTTTTTAAAGGTAATGATGCTTTAATCATATTTGGAATTAGCCCCTGAGTGAAGCTGATACTATATTCTGGCTTAATATTTGGAAGTTAGTTTCCCACGGTCTTGTGTTTGTGCCAGGACCATTACCAGTGATTTATAACTGATTTTTATGGGTTGCAGGAAAAAAAGCTTCATTTCTTATTATTGTCAATGGTGTGTTTGGATTTCATCCGTGACACATGTTGGCATTGCTTGAAATTTTGATTTGAGTTGCAAAGTGGGAGTTGCCCAGGGTTAAGGATCAGCTCAAATCAGTTTTCTTTACAGCATTAAGGATTAATCAAGGAGTCAGAACACAGGAAGATTCCTGATTCTAAGAGAGATGTTTACTGCGGGTTGGTGCTGCCTTTGAAAGCGGCCTTGCAGGCCCCCAGTGGTGGCCACAGTATACTTTCAGTATTTTTAGCAAGATGTTGGAATCGTGTTCTCACAAACTCATATACTGGTTGTCTTGGTTCTTGACAACAGTAACTGTTAACATCATCTCATCATTAATATTATTTAGTTATTCATATTTTAATGAAGTGAGTGAGTGTGTTCATGTTTTCTGACACCCGCATGAGGCTGCCCCAAATAATAAGAGTCCTTCGTCCTTGGGGGACCTGTTTTTTTTTCTTTGAACTGATTGGATGAGACACACCCACATTATGGAGAGTAACCTGCTTTATCCCAGTCCACTGATTTAAATGTTAATCACGTCTCAAAAACCACATCCATAGCAACATGTGGACGTGTATGGTTAAACGTCTGCACACCGTGGCGGAGCCAGGCCGACACATGAATGAACCATCACACCGTGGAATCCCAGCCCGTGACGGACATGAGATTCTGAGCTCATCTTGCTTGTCATAGGGGGGGAGTGTAGGCCCATCTTGATATTAGAGGTAAAACTAATAAAAACATGGTCCCTTCTATCCCTGTAAGGTTGCCTTTAGCTAGCATGCTTATTGATGGCGGAAAGGATTGCCCTGTAACAGTGCTTCTTGAATTTTAATATGCACACTAATTATTAAATGAACATATTCAGAGGGTCTGGAGTGGGGCTTGGGGTAATGCATTTTAATGCCCCCGAGTGCGCCAACTACTGCTCTGTGTACCGCATCCAAGTCGTGAGGCCCCGTTGCTCAAAGAACCTACTGGAAGAACAAGGCTGGTAGGAAATGGACTGAGTTTGAGTGACTTCTTCTCAAGAAGCAGCCAATCCTTGGAGACTTCAGTCCCCGAAAGCCTCAGGGCTCTAGGGTCTTCTCTTTATAATGCCTCTTCTCCAAAGTTAAGAGAGTGACACTTGACTCTTCTGCGGAATTAAAGCTGCGGAAAAGTGCCCAGGCATCAGAAAGCCCTCTGTGCCGCACAGGGTAGATTCTCCCTCACATGGCTCCATTTGAGGCTTGGATTATGCCTCTCCCAGACTTGCCAGGCCACTTTTGGTCCCTATCAGCTTTGGGCTTACTTTGGACTCTGTTTCTTCCTAGCCGTGTGAAAGGCAGGAAAGGACGCTGGCATCCTCCGAGCTCTCTGTATGCCCAGTACTGTGCCGGGCGCGCTCCCATTGTGTCCTCATGGCAACAGTGCTGGGGACTGATTGGCATTATTGTACATGAGGACGTGGGGAGTTAGCTCATGCAGGTAATAAAGATTCAAAGAGGAGAATTAGAGCCAGATTTGTCTTGGACGAAAGCCTATGGTGCTCTGGGGCTCTGCTTCCCCGTTTGTTACTGGGGCAGAGCTGGGGCTGCTGTCTCCCACACCAAAAATCAGATGTGCTGGTGAGTCTCGGTGCTTCCAGACGCAATCCCAAGGGTGCAGAAGCGTATCACGTGCCACATTTCAAGGGTTGTTCTTCCAGGAGAAACGGTTCACTTCTTAGCAATGATTATTGGGGTCAAATGATCAAGTTTTTTTTTTTTTTAACTTTGCTCATGATTTGTTTGTTTTCCATCTGGGACTGGCATGCAGAGATCCATGCAGGTCCCAAGGGCCCTGACTTAGCTCCCGAGAGGGCCGTAGAGGCTTCCAGCAGGGGCAACTTGAAACACCCCTTGTGCTCATGCTTTCTGACCCTCAATTTTCAGGTTAAGGAGGAGCATTAATACTGCACATACCAAACATAAATGTCTGCAAAGAAAAATAGTAAAATCAATCCATGGTAATAAAATGAATCACTAAGGTCCAGACAAGGCTGCATGTGAACCCAAATACCAAATGCACTGAATGGATCGGCTGGGGTGACTGACGGAAACTGACTTTGTCACCCCAGCAGGGCCTGGGGTCCTCATCTGCATGTCAGAATACAGGGGACATTGCCATCTTCTGAGGCTAAAGTCTCAAGTGGGCACTGGTCCATTCCCGGGGGCCAGGAAAGGATGTGATGGTCAAGGGAGCCAGCCTCCAGCACCGTGGCTTCCAGAGCATTCTCGGCTCACTGGCTTCTCTCTGTCCCTGCAGCTTGCCGACGAGCAGGGCCTCATCCTGATGACCACGGTCGCCATGCCTGTGTTCAGTAAGCAGAACGAAACCGTGAGTACAGAGGCGTCCCGCCCGATGCTAGGAGGGCTGTCGTCTCAGACCCCCTCTGACGCACACTCCGGTGACCTTTGTTTATTCATTTTAATGATGGAGGATATATAAATTTTCCTTACTTTTAACCTCGCCGTTAGAATCACGAAATCAAGAACAGATGAGAGGAATCAGGAAGCCATCATTTTATAGTAGGTGCCACGTTTCTGAAATCTGTGTTGAATGGCCAGAGGAAGGAAAAACTCAGAGAGAATTCTTCATGATGGCGGGATGACTGCTCTCTGACTGATGGTCACCAGCCTCAACGTTAGTTTCCCAGGGCTCAGTAACAAAGTGCCGCAGAAGGCATGGCTGAAAACACAATAGACGTTTATTCTCATCAGTCCAGAGACTGACCCCCAAAATCCAGGGGTCGGCAGGGCCCCACCTCCTCCGAAGGCTGCAGGGAAGATCTCCCTGCCTCCTCCAGGGCCCCAGATGCACCTCGGCTTGCGGTGCCCTAGCTCCAGTTTCTGCCTCTGTCTTCAGGTTGCCTTCACCTCCCATGGGGCCCTGTCCTCTCCTTTCCTCCTAAAGACCCCAGCCACCGGATATAGGGCCCATCCTGAAGCCAGGATGATCTCACCTCAAAATGACAGCCCTCGTGAAGACCCTATGTCTCTATAGGATCCCATTCTGAGGTTCTGGTTGGCCTTGAATTTGGGGGAAACAATGGACAGGAGCAATCTGTGTCTTCTTCCGGAAGATCATCCTAACACCAGAAAGTTTCAGCACGTCGCATTGACCGTGGAAACAGGCCTATTCCTTCCGCTTAGTCCTTGGTTTCCAACTCACTGCTAAAAATATTATTAGCATTCCTACATCTTTCTTGGGCTATTTAGTCTCTCTCTCCTGAGCACCCATGGCAGTGTAAATTCAGAAAGTAGTTAACATGCTAAATCTTTCCTGCAGAGAGCATCCATAAGGTAAACTGATGAATGATCAGTCCTTAGCTGCTGACACATTTGTGCTGCTTCACACTACGTCTTAATTTGCAGCAGAGCAGAGAGAATGGCTATCAGGGCGTCCTGGTGTGGGTGGCGTGTTGGGAGCTGCAGGAGGTCATGTTTGGCCTCAGAGGCTACCAGTCTTGTCTAGGAATATTTTGGGCAGGGGTGGAGGAGAGAGGAGGGTCCCTCTTGGAGATCTGGGTGGATCCTCAATCTCTATAAACACAGGGAAGGCTCTGGGCCATGGTCTGCGGCATGTGGCTTCTCAGGAGGTTCTGTTTTTCTGCCACATTAACTTACTGAGTTGTTACTGCTTAATGTTTGCTTTCAACAGAGGTCAAAGGGCGTCCTCCTGGGCGTGGTCGGCACGGATGTCCCGGTGAGAGAACTCCTGAAGACCATCCCCAAATACAAGGTAATACAGCACCTGCGGCACCTGGTAGCCCGGAGCCCAGGGACCCAGGTGACGCCACAGAGCGTCCGGGTGATGGAGAGAACAGAGCGCAGAGACCCTTCCCTCTCCCAGCACACGCTGCTATTCTTGGGTGCTGCAGTAACGTGCGGGCAGACCTGCTCGGTCTCCGCACGCATCCCCAGGCTGCTGAGGGCTGCAGGTGTTGCACAGCAGGAGAAAGCCGAGAAACGAAGGGAGTGTTTCTTTCTCTTGAAGAAACACCTTGTAAAGATGAGTCATTGGCTCTTGGGGTTTTCCCAGAAGTTAGAATTCTTTCTTTTCCCTTAGCTTCATAGAGGCAGATTTATCTGGGGTCCTGGGTCCATCCCTGAGGAGCTGGACGTGGACCAATCTCTCAGAGCTTCCATTCCCCTTCTGACCCGGGGTGCTGACAGACTCGTGCCGAGCATTGACCAGTATCATTGATCAGGAGCAGCGGCCACACACTGGTTCAGGAGGCAGGTGTGACCTGCGGCCTCCTGGTCCCCACGGGGTGCTTCCCCACTGGGGTGCTGCCTGTGTAGAGCTACTGATGCCCCTTCCATCCCAGGTTCAGCAGCTGTGGGCTCCATGCTCTCTGGGCCTTTCCTGACCTTGAATGCCCAGCAGAATGATGTGTCACCTGAATGGCTGGCATGGTAGCCACAGGCTGGGACCCTCTCACTTGTTAGCAGGCTTTCCAAGAATTTTGAAAGACATGGGGAAAGGCTTAGGACCCAAGGTCATGTGTGTTAGGCAGGATTCTTAAGATGATAAAGACAGGCCTGCTTTAGACAGAGGGTCAGAACATGAGCAAGAGCAACTACCAGCCAGTCAGCAGGCATCTCAGCAAAAAAACTCCTGTCCAGGCAAGTCGGCTGAACAGACAGCTGCAGCCAAGGTGACTAGGTCGCCCCTCAGAGGGTGGGAGGGGCGGGAGGTGCAGAAAACGGCTATGTAAAAAGGTACCATGTTGTACAACACAGGGCATAAATGTAATAGCAATGTCTGCCTATTACTATGTGAGTAAAATGCATGATATGCTCAGGGTATGTGTGATATGAGTAGATGACACTGGCCAGGTCCTCTGCGCTGTGCAGAGGGCGCTACTGACACCACATTACCAAATCCTCCTCAGAAAGGGTAGTGCCAGTGCATCCATTCGACCCGAAAGACACTCAGGTTCACAGGGTGCATGTTCAGGGGCTCAGAGCCATGTATGTAGGAAGAGGTGAGTATGACATGAACCAGGTCTGGGTAACTCCTCAGCCCACGTGCTCGTAACAGATCTAAGCCCCTCCCCTACCATGGCATGACTCGCTGTCACCTTCATGTGCCATCTGTACCCTTATTTATTTAACACTTCATTTGTAAACCGACCCAGAACTTTCTTCACTTAACTAGGTTTTAATAGAGAATACTGCATCGCCGTTTTAAAATAAAAGCCAACGTCACTTGCCATTACAGAAGACAGTTGTAAGAAAAATCATAAACACAAAAGAGAAGTATTTAATGATTTCTTGATAATCTCAAGTTCTGAATCTGAGATCCGTTTGCTCTTTTTTAATGTCTTAGTAAGGCCAGTGTTAAAGATATGCTAGAGGGAAGCTTTCTTGGTGATGTAACTGGGGGGATGGAAGGGATTTTAAAACGGCTCTTACTAGCTGTTCTGCCTGATAAGAAATACAAGGCCTATGTGCCCCCCAAAATCATCTTGCTCTGTACCCTGATTTTCCTAAGAGAGCAGAACAGTCCACGGAAGGTGAGGGAGGGCTGAGAAGCGAAGAGCAGCCATGGGGGATTGTCCAGCCTGGGGGGCGGGTGCCCCTGCCCGCCTTCTGGGGCTCGCATCACTGCTGCTCGTAAGCCTATGCTGCACCCCACCTGTCGGCTTGGCCTCTTGGAGCCCCCAGAGGCTCAGACTTTTCGGCACGTGCATACAGACCCTCGGCACCTGCCCCACTCCCAGCAGAGGAAACTCCTTTGACAGGCAAGGCTTAAGCCTTTTATTTCCTATGAGAACATATAGAAACCCAAGTTCAGGGCCACTTCTTGACCTATGCTGACTAAGTCACGGAAGTGCGAAATACTATGGAATTGACACTGATTACCCTGTGAGTCTGTTTCCTTGACTTGCCCTACGAGGCACTGTGCTGAGCTCTCTGCAGCATCAGCTCACTTTGTAACAGGTAGACGCAGCTGTTGCGCTTATGCTCTCTGGCAGCTGAAGAAACCGAGGTGCAGAAAGGTTAGATATCTCACGACCTGCAAGCCACGATTTTAGTTGCTGTTACCCTGAAGCTGTTAGGAATAATAAATGACAATAGCAAGAGTTGAAATAATAGTTAAAATACTGAAAACAATATAATAGTTCAAGTAAAATAAAACAAGCATTTGTCGGACATTCTACTGTGTGTTTAGGTGGAGGCAAAGTGCTTTCTATGCGCTATTCCCATCGAATCCTTGGTAAGCTCCCACGATGTGGGTACCAGTTGGCCCCATTTTTAGTTGAGGATCCTTGAAATAACTTTCTCAGTATAACTCAGCTTATAAATGGTGAATAAAACAAAGTGGAACCAAGAACAGAGGGAGGGCAGCTGCAGAAAATTAATGGAAATACAGGCAGTTCTGTTTTACGCTTTCACAAGGGTCATGCTGGCAGCCAGAAGCACAGGTGTGACGTGCCTCCACTGAAGGCATCCCTCCTCTGGGGAAAGGTGTGCCTGTCGGCGGGGGGGCAGCCACAGCCGAGGGGCTCCTGTCCTTGGGAAAGCAGGGCTCCCGGCAGCAGAGCGCACACCTTGCCCTCTGGATTAACACCTTGTAAAGAAGAGTCAGCTCTCGGCTCTTGAGGTTTTTCCAGAAGATAGACTTCTTTCTTTTCCCTTAGCTTCATAGATTTTTCCCACAAGCAATCAGACTTCCCGCAATTTTTATTAAGAATTCCAGACACTCCAATAATACCTCGCAGACACCACAGCGTCTGCTAACATAGCGAGCCATTTTATGACGTGCCTCAGTAGCCCAGCGTCCCTGCGCTGGGAAGGGTCGCCCGCTGCCCTGGGCTCTGGGCCCTCAGGAGAGCCTGCATCAGGACGAGGGTCCCTTCAGTAGCCCCTGGGCTGGATGGCTTTGTGTCCAATTTGTTCTCGATGACTCCACAGGACTGCATGTTAGAGTGAACAGGAAGGCTGGTTCTGTATCAGACAAAATAAAAATTAGAGTGTCCTTAAGCATATGGCTTTGTGGCCAAAAACAAACATTGGTCTTTGCCTTACAAGCTTTTGGTTTTCTGAGCGATTCAGCCACAGGTTTTGAGATTTGCTCAGAGTCCCTCTTCTTACATCTACGTTAGATCGTATCCATGTGCTGCCGACCAGCCACCAGAACATTCCAATGTCATTTCCCCAGACTGGACTGTTCATCTGGGAAGATTTTAACCAGGTGGTTTTCCCAGGTACCATCTCCAGAGGATGGCCGAAGTACCTGCCATAGCCAATCAGCTTCCTTTCAGCTCACTTGAAATATTTACTTAAGTCCGAACTTTGAAGATGAACTAGATAACATTTGGGTGATGTGATGAGTGTGTGAAGCACATGCAAAGCGTAACCACAATGCCTGCCGTGTGCAAGACGTTATGCAAGAGGCTCCTTCCGTGCAAACAGCCTGTGCTAATGGGGGCCCTGCTTTAATTAGCACAAGAGAGAGGGAGTCAAGGGAACCAGCCAGGGTGGGGAGGCGGGAACGCAGGTGTGGCGTGACATCCAGCCCGTAATTGCATGCATTAGAATGAAAGTCGCAATGGAAAAATTCCCAGGGTTGTATGGAGATGTGGTATGGAAAGGAGGGGGCAACAGTAGGGTCAGGAGATGGTCCTGAGGCTTACAGCATGGGTGGGCATTTGATGGGGTGGCGGGAAGGGGCAGCCTCTGTGTCCGGCGATGCCTGAGCAAAGGTCTGGGTGGAAGACAACTGCCCTGTGCCCCGAGAGGCCATGAGTGGAAGCAGCGAGGGTCGGGTGCTTGGGGCCAGAACCCAGGGGGAGCCGGTAGGCAGGCGCTTGGGGCAGGTCTGCACTGGTCTTACACAGAGGAGCAGCAGCATCGGTTGCCTGGGACTTTGATCGGTTTGGAGGATCAAGCTTTGAGGTTAGGACCCTCGTGGCAATCCATCCCATGAAATCCGCAGGGATGGTGGGGGGGGGGACGCATCACTGAATGTGAGGAATTTCTGGAAAAAGCGATTGCTTAGACTGAGCAGTTGGGGATGAAAAAGAAAGAGAGAAGTCTAAGGATGGGGCTCAGGTTTGTAACCGGGGAATCTGGGTGGGTGGTGGTGCCCCAGACGGAGCAGGAAGAGCCGGGAGGGTGGCGGTGCTAAGGGAAGGACCGCCGCAGTGGGCTGGGCCTGGCTAGGCACCTGCACCAGCCCAGGGAGAGACAGCCACGTGCAGCCGGAGGCATGGCTCTGCCTGAGGAGAGAGGCCCCCTGGGCTGGAGTGCAGACCTGGGGCTCAACCCCTGAAGCTTATTGGGAGAATGAGCTAATGCAGACGGGGGACACTGGGGACCGAACCTTAGGGAAATGAATTCTTATGGGGCCTGGAAGCTCAGGGAATAGAGAGTGTCAAGGAGGAGGAGGCGGTGCTGTAAGACCAGAAGGATTCAAGAGAGAGCTTTCTATAGGGGTTGGCACTTATGAGGCCACCAGCACCTGGAGAAATGCGTTCCAGTGGTATCTGGTGGCAGGGGGTCATGGCCGCAGCAGATCCTAGTAGGCTGAGGTGTGGATGGGCCACGGGGAAGCAGAGATGGCAGGTGAGCAATGAGGGGAGGGCTTTCGGCGGGAAGGTGAGCCCAGCCTCTGCAGTCAGGAGAGGAGGCAGCCACTCAGGCTGGCCTGGCAGAACCTGTGCCTGATGCAACTTCTTTCCCAGTTCTCTGCTTTCTCCTTTTCCTGTTTCTCCTCTCTCGCATCTCTTC